TTTGGCACGATATTCGCTCGATTGGTCGGTTGTTTCCGGGTCGTAAGCATAGATCCAAGTCTCGTCTCCAGTGATCATGCATTTCGTCTTGTCAATGTAGTCAGAAAGCATTGTTTCACACACGTCAACTCGACACCTTTTTTCCAAAAAATTCAATGATTTCGGTACCAGTCGAGATTTGACGCGTTTGAGGCCCAAAACATCCTTCAAAATGGTATTGACTGAGCCTTTCGATATGCCAATATCATCAGCAAGGTCTCTAATCGTTAATCGACGGTTTTCCAACACCAAATCTTTAATTTTTTGGACGTGAGCTTCGTCGGTTGAGGTTGATGGTCGCCCAGCACGCTCTTCGTTTTCGACACATTCACGGCCTGCTTGGAACTCACTATACCACTTGTAAACATTTTTTTTCGACATAGCCTCATCACCAAAGGCTTTCTGCACCATCCTCAACGAATCCGCAGCAGAAAATTGATTCCGCAAACAAAATTTAATGCAAATTCTTTGATCAACAAATTTCGACATCGCAAAAAACGAGAAATTCACTTTTAGCAGTCCACAAAACGAAGCGTATCTCAAACACTAATGAATATTTTGACGTGTAATTTGGCAGGGATGTCAAAGACAGTCCTACCAACCTAAAAATAAAAGGATTTTTTCAAATTCCCCCGCGCGCTAAATTTTAAATGCAATGTCACCTTACTTTTTGGACACAGTAGTATGCGATGAAAGAGAAGTTCGTGCCAAAATCACGCTCCTAATGTGAAACACATACACAAATCGAAGTTCTTGTTAGAAGTTTGTTTATACGGTTCGTTCGGCACATAGTAGTTGGAATGGTTGTCATTTCAAATGTTTGAATTTGGCAGATGCTGGGTAGCGTTCCGAAAACATTAGACAATTCAAATTAGACAGTTCTTTTTGCTTCGGGAAGTGTGTATATCATTCGTTATAATAAATGTTTGCATTGAGAACTCGTCTCTGGCAGTGAGATTGAATCGAAAAAATGGAAAATATCAGATTAGTTTCAACGACTAGTGATATAACCTCAAAATTCTATGATTTTCTGTTTTGATCTCGGGAAGTGGCATCTTTGATTATTTTAAAGTAAAGATACATGCAATCGACTCAGAATTGTTCACTCTTTCAATCCAGAACTACCATTTCTTGATTATTTGATGGCAAAAACACCCCACTGTACAAGTGGAGTATAGTGAACAACTATTGCTCACATTCTAGACCGTACTTTAGAATAAGCTGACGGTCGAACAGATCGAACATAATTTTCAATCCTCAACCAACAAATAATGATTATGGGCTTCACAGAAATCCTGTGACTAGAACGCAGCTACTATACGGAAGAAAATTCAAAGCAACTAATATTCTTGATGCAAACTATGAATTGTTTAAAAATAAAATAATGAGCCTTCAGTCAAAATTAAAATATTAGTAATATTGATGCGAATAGCAATGTTTTAACTGAATCAGTTGGGATAGTTAACTTGCAATTAAAATTGAATTTATAATCAATTCTTTTTTTTACTTACAAATTTATTAATTTTGGAATTAAATGATTATACTTTTTTCTTTTCTACTGTTAGTAATTTATTGCCAAAAAGTAATTAGAAGAATTTAAAATTAAAATTCAACAAAATTGTGATCAGAACACATAGGTGAAGAATGTTATTGGAAATTTTCCTATTTTCAACACCATTAAAAATCAATAAAAAAAATATATTTCCTCTATTTTAATTCTGATAGTTTTGCGTTAGTAACATGATAATCATTAAAAATTCATGGTCATTTTTAATGTTAAAAGATGTATCGTTTTTAGGCTTTTTTCCGTTATAATAGAATACAATTTCAGTGTAAATCAACTGTATGTATCTACCTATTTGGAATGTATGTTTTCGGAACGCTACATTGGGGGTGTTTTTTTGGAAGCAAGTTGGAATATTTTTAAGTTATACAGGCTTAAAAGTTGTAGTTGGGCCCAAAAAGAACGAAAATACCTTCTATAGCGATTTTTGAGAACGTTCACCCCTGCCGAAATTAACACGCGTTTAAAAATTCATGTTTTGGTACATTTTTAGTATTTTAAGGCCTTTTCCCTACATTTACCGCATGTTTTAGTAGGTTTTCTACTTTGTGATCGAAGAATCTAACAGATATAATATAAAAAGACAGTACTGAATTGATTTCACATCGATTTTTGATCATTTTTAGTGAAAAATGTGTAATTCCAGGCCAAATTTTGAAAATTGTGTATGGGAGGTACCCGTAAATCAATTCTGATTGATTCCAAACTTTCTGGGATTTCATTTTTTGGTGAAAAAATAAGATTCTGAAAGTTTCATGCTGATCGCATTTGCGCAAGTTTGGTTTTGGCCAAAACAATTATTTGAAATTTCCTTGAACCTTCACTTCGATCATAACGATGTGAAATCAATTCAGTACTATCTTTTTATATTATATCTGTTAGATTCTTCGATCACAAAGTAGGAAACATACTAAAACATGCGGTAAATGTAGTATTCTGTATGTACTTGGGTGTTTTCCTGAAATTGAAAAGAGAAAAATGGTAGTTTTCAATTTAAAGAACATAAAATTCTGTTTCAAATTATGGCATTAATGTAAAGAATCGATTGATATTGGCACGTCCCGAAGGAAAGAACACTTTGCAAAATCGAATAATGCTTACCTAAAAACACCCACTAAAGTACTCCTGCGCAGTTAACATCAACCAAATGGGGAGTCAACTTGCTGCTACGCAACTATCCCACATGATCGGGATAGCCATAACTAATGTTAAATTTGTTTTTTTTGTTTGTAATGTGCTGATTAGACAGCATGATCAGCTGGCTGCTGGTCGTACTCGAACATCTCTAGTAGAGATTCTCTACATCATTATCCACGATGGCGACAGCAGCAGCAGTGGCTGCTTCAGCGGTTGCTCTAGCGGCAGCAGCAGCAGCGGCAACAGCAGCGGCTGCTTCAGCAGCTTCGCGCCAATACCTATTGATCGCCTCCGGTATCGGAAGTCCCAGTAATGTCCATAGTCCTGAACAATTAAACAAATGAACCTTCTTAAAAAATCATTCAATCGAAATTGTGCGTCAATTAGCCTTACCTTTCAGTAGAATGTTCTTAGCAGCCACGACGTCACGATGCCAAATCACAGAGCATTCGTGGTTTAATTCCCAGTTTTTATAGTAACATTTTACTTTTGGGAATCAACACTCGTCTTCTTCCGATGCTTCTTCGTTCATGGCACGTTGTAACTGTCGGTAAATCGATAGATCCGTTTTGCCCAACTTTGACACAATTTTTGTTGGCAGCAATGTTTTGGCGTCGGGTACGCAACGGCATCTCTTGAATCTGGCCTCTTTTCTCTGGTTTTCGAATCGATTCATACATCTTGCGTCTGTTTGAGATGTTCCCCATTCGTCCACCAATTGTATGAAACAATTTCGGCGCTTCTTTATTGACCTCAAAGTCTTACGAACCCCTGGGCAGCGCACGTGCTTTTTTATACTTATCAGGTGGTATTTCGCCATCAGCACCAAACAAGAACAAAGTCGGTTGCTTATCGGTAACCTTATTCACCCATTTGTCGACAACACTACTGCTTTTGATGTGTTTGTCCAAGGCGAGTAGAGTGTATTTGGCAGTCGAGTAAGCGCAGATTCCATGTTTCATCATCTTGACTCGGTGCTTTATGTAGTTCCGGTGCCAGTGTGACCCTTTTGGCGATGGCATCACTGGATACAGCTCACGATTTTCTCTGTCTGCGCGCTCCATTTCGACGAAATTTTTGGTCCATCGCTTTTCTTTGGCATTTCGCACCTTTTGACCTGTTTTCAGTGGAATTGCTTGCTCGACATTACAAAGTTGGTCTGAAAAAATAAATAGAAAAAAAGGTATAGTTATTGAGTTTTGGCACTTAAGCAGTGTTTTTTTCGATATTTTCTATTAAAATACATACAACTTATTCAAATGTATACAAAACTTACTTCTTTGCCAGTTTCAATGTTGTGTGTTACTGTGGTATTCCAACTTCGCACGCCTGTATCAACGCCCGAAAAGTTTTTGATTTTGCCATCCTTAATCTTCTGAACGATGCGAGATTTTTGGTCGATTTCTTTGTTATCTGTCTTCTTTTTGGCCGAGTACTGGAGAGACACAGCGATTCCATCGGTGTTTATGGAAAAGTCAAACTGCTTTTTGCCACGCACGAATCGTCGAATTTTTCGCATGTAAAAATACTGATTCCACCAATAATCTCTCGAATGATTGAAATCCTGTTGTCGAATAACTGTTATGCTTGTTTCTCCGTTTTTATTCTCGGTTTCCACTTTCGGTAGCAATTTTTGCGAAGACAACACCTGGTGCATAGATAAACAATCGATTCTGAAGTGCGTACGCCGAAACTGCACATCGGTACCACTACTAAATTTCGGATGAATGGCCGAAAATCTGGAAAGTTGTGCCCAATTTTCTACCTGAATATATGCAGAGAAGCTATATATTCACTTTAAAATGCCATGTTATTGCTTTTAATACGATATTTCATCATAAAAATAGTGCCTCAGTGTCATACAAAGAAAATATTGGGTGATCCATTTGAGACGACAAAGGTGGCCAAAACACGCCATTTTTGCATGACGACACAAAAAATTTCTATGATGAAATAACATCAAAATTGACCTTATACACTGAAAATATGCACTTTTTACAACACGTTTACATTTACCTTCTAAAATTATCAAGAAAATATCACCCAATGGTTGGCAGTATGGTAAGTATGGTCGGCAAAATGTACTAAAAACTGTTATTCAGAAAATTTCGACACGAAATTTTTTCATCATACACAGAGTACGTCTTTATTCTTCGAAACGACATTCCCTTACTAATTTAAATTTTATTAATCGGCATTTTGGCAGCATGGGCTTGTCTCACGCATCCTAACAGTAAATAATTTAAAAATAACAAACATCTTTTTGTGATAATTTAAACAAATTCCCTGTTTATTGAATATGTTCCATTCAAATTTGTAGTGTCAAAATGTATTTAAATTTTGGGATTCAATTTAACTATCGAGGTGTCTTTTTGTATATTATGCTCATCAAGTTTTTTTTTTACTCTCTGCTTGTTTCATTCAGTGGTTCGACAAATGATGAGGGAAAAAGACCAACTTTTCCACTTTTAGCATGAGTTCCCTTGAACCATCCATTGTCGCGCTTTTTGTGGACATACAGTATATCCCCGACAGCCAATTCAAGTTCAAAATCACTGTTTCTCGGATATGAAACAACACATTTGAATCTGGAAAGGGAAAAAAATTAATAAATCATATTCAAAATTATGTATATCCACTCAAACACTAACTTTTCATTGAGCGTATAGGATTTTCGTCTGCTTGAATTTGCAGATTCATTTGATCTATTATTAATGGATAATTTAGTATCAGCATCCAAACTCTGAGATTTTCTATGATGTAAAGATGATGAAAATCCTGCATTTTTTACATGATTAGCATTTGCTCCTATTAATCTACAATTAAAGAAAAGTACATGTGATGTGTTCGTGTTGGTAAACCAAAATGGATGAAAAACAAACCCTTGCAATGATGATCGATCTTTATTTGGCCTAATACGATGTGAACCGAACGTTTCAGCTTTCTGACCACTTGTGCCAGCCGGCAAACTGTGGTTAATATCGGCTGATATACATTGAAGCAATTTAGGTTCTGGGCAGGAACCAGATCGCACATGTATTGGCTGTGACATGTGTATCGTGTTTGGTTTTGATGGTGGCGATATAGATGAAGCGTTTGTTGTTTCGAAGCATCCGATCGCATTATCTTCAAAAACGGGATTATCCATTGAGTAAGACATTGTTGGCTGATGTTTGTTATTCGCTTTGATATTTGTTATACGTTTTATAAGATTGACTGTTGATCCTGATGACAGAGTTGACCCTGTATAGAAAAAAAGTGATTAATAACAATATGAAATCATTTTAAAATAAGGTACAAGCCTTGACTGGAATGGATCGGTAGTACTACTGCAGTTGGGTAAAAAGGATTGTTCAGTTTGGTTGCCTATATTTTTTCTGAAGACAGTGAGGCGCTATCACCAATACTTCCAACTAAAAACTACCTAGGTAGATAAATTAAAAACTCAAAAACAAAAACTTGCAAAACATCAGCTAGGTTACGGTGTGCAGTACTATCGATCCATTTCAGCCAAGTCCTTGTGTTACAAGTTACACTGTGTTATTACTAATACTTACGTCCAAAGATTGCTTCAACATGTTGTCCGATTGGCTTGGACCACACAGAAGTAGCACTAGAAGCAGATGTAGAAGTAGAAGTGGATGTTGATAATGATGTGTTAAAACGTGGCGGCAGCTCAGGTGGATTTATATGACAGCTTTTATTCGATACATTGTTACAAGATAGAGATGCGCAATCGACGACACCAATACTTGCGGGTGTTAATTGTTCGTTTACACTTCGCAAAGGCGCCACATAGTTACCCGGGAAAACACCAGATTTATTTTGAGAACGACTGCTACCTCTAAGCCACCCATCTTTACACCGCTCGCTTACATAATAAATTGCTGGCAAAATTGAAATTTTTTTTAAACATTTCGTCTTGTTTGTTTTTCGTAATGAAGAAATTTTAATTAGAATACTCACATCCCTTTTTTAGTTCGAGTTCATCACACTTCTGAGGCTTATACGGGTACAGCGCAATGAAAGTGTTTGCACCTGATGCAAAGTGATGATGTTGTCGCTGATTGGATTTACCACCACTAGACTTGTTGCCCGAAATTTGAACTTTTGAATGATTTTGAATTGGGATTTTTTCTTTTGAAATATTTCTTGTTATGAAATTTCTGGAAAACAATAGGAAGCATTGTGACAAACTGTACTTATGGTGCCAAAAGAATGTTTAGCTTACTGATTAGATTTTTTATGGCCTGTATCACTGGCGCTCAACATATTGCAAGTACTTCTTGGCGACTCTCGTTTGTTGTCGTTGGCTAACAATTGTTCATTTTTTAGAGCACCATTTGACACCATGATCGAAGTACTACAGCGATTGCTATTATTTGTGGTTGTAGAATTTGGAGAAGCTAGGCTTGTCATCGTTTTCAAATTGCTCGATTCACTTGAAAAACTACCATTCTGCTGCTGCTGCTGCTGATTTTCATTTGGAGTGGGTGGTACATTTCGTTGGCCCATAGTAGAGTTACTGTTAACTGATGATTCCATTAATTGTTTCGCGAGCGAGTTCATTTCAACAAACGCGATCGGAAATATGCCTATTGTTTCATCAATACAGCCTTCGGCCCAATTCGGATCGACGCGACAAAGTACATTGATTATTGCACCTTTTTTAAACGTTAAACAGCCTTCTTCTTCATTTGGACCCATACGAAAATCATATAAGGCTTTGCATTGTGGCTGTGGTAGTGGAACTACAATATGAACATAATTGCTAGGAAATACCCCCTCTCTGCCATGGCATTCACCTTCGAACCAATTCACATCGATGCGCCGACGTAAAAGCACCTTATCACCAGTTCTCAAACTCAAATCGCTAGAATCAAAGTATGACAAAAAAAATAGGTAAACACATTGATTAATCTTTGTGAAATTCGTATTTGATTAAGGCAAACTACCCGGGTTCTTTCGATTCAAAATTATATAATGCTGTCGCATGTGGTGTAATGGATGAATTCGGCACTAATACACTTTGTTGCTTATGCTGCTGTTGTGCGACTAAATGCGATCTAACATCAACGAATTGGTTTTCATTCAATTTCAGTTCTACAACAGTTGTTCTCTGTGCACTTTCATGATTTGACGCTGCACTTCTTTTTTGTTGTTGATCATTCGGGCTTGAATCAAGACCATTAAGTCCGTATTCATTGGTTGATTCATTGGGGGCTACATTCGCTTTTAGTACTGACTGAACCGATTGGATGCTACCGTTGTTATTTTTGTTGTTCTTGCTGTTGATTGATTGAAGTGATGTCGCTTCGGAATTTATTGAATGTTTGAGATTTACATTGTGTGGGTCGATGTTGGTCGTGTTTTTCAAGCCCGATAAAATTCGCATCAATATTATATTCGGTGGAAGATTATCAATTTCGACTTCAACTAAAATTCGACATTCGGGACATCGAAGCTCTGAATGACTGGACACAATAACCTAAAATTGAATTGTTTTTGAGTAATTATAATGATAAGAACACTATAACAAAATAGTTGTACCTGTAAACATTTGCGGCAAAACGTGTGCTGGCAGGGGAGTACCTTCGAAGTTGAATCTAATCGCTCTAAACACACTGAACATTCAAGTGCTCTATTGATATCAATCAGAATATCATCCATTATATGTGTATTTTGTGTTTTTGACGTGAAATATATTACAGAGTCTCTCGTAAATATTTCATTTTGTTAACTTTTTTTGTTTGTACGATTGATAAAGTTTTAAAACAAGATTTTTGCTGCAATGGATTTTATTGCTATGCATTGCAAACACATTTGTCTTCTTAACTCACACCACTTTCAACATTATGCCGTACTGGTAATATATCTCAGTATATCCACTTGAGCACATTTTTGCAGTAAAAACGTTCTGATAAAATCATCATCACTAACGTAGTTATACTAAGTAAGATGCTTCACATACGTATTTTGACATGAATTCGACAAATGTTCAATCATTTCCGAATAAGAACAAATGTGATTGATTTTGTATTAAATATGTGTTATTTATGTATTTAAAACTTAAAGGGCCAGGCAATAGAATAATATGTATGAATATTAGAAAAGTCTGAGCTAAACTCACTCCATTCGTTTCGCGTGTGTGTGTGTGTGTGTGTGTAATTTGTCACTAATTGATACACACCGCTCTTTTTTTATGTATGCACAATAACACAATAACAAAATTTAAACACATTTAGTAGGCCGACGAATAATGTTTGGTCATTTTCGAGCAATATCAACACAACCGAATATTCTTTTTTCTGATGATTTTAGCAGTATAAAATCATTCCTTTTCTATGAATGGTTGTCCAAACTCGTTGCACTATGCAATGTGCACATATACATCCATATGCGTATATACAAGTACATATACAGATGTATATGTAAGATACAGATACAAATACATATACAGATACAGAAACAAATACAAATACAAATACACATTCACACAGTGTGTATCACGCACAATGAAAAATGTATACACAATCTTTATACGTGCAGCGCCTACAGGGGTGAAGGAACTCGTTGTTTGCAGCAGTCTTTTTATTTCCTTGGATATTCAAAAAAATGAGAAAAATGTATTTCAATTACGATACATAATTCATTTGTTGCATACGACGGTGCTATGATCAACATGGTTTCGGATGATGAGTGATCAAATGTGAAGAAAAACATAACGTCCGAGGTAACGAAAAAAACCAATAATGACGATCAAAAGCTTTGAAAAAATTGAAAATTTATGATTAAAAGTGATACTATTTTTTGGAAACACCGTCAAAAATCTTCAGTAATGCATTAAAATAATATTGATGCCTACGATACATGCAATATAGTGCCTGCATGGCTGTCAGTCATTTTCATGAGTAGTGAATAACTCATCTTGGATGGATTCGTCGGTTATAAATTGAAACGATTTTCTAGTGAAAAGCTGTTAACCCGCTAATTTTATATGCAAACCAAAAGTATCCTACTAACCATTTTAGGACAATTGGTCCCAATGTCCCATTTCAAAATAAATAAATGAATGCATGAAGGGACGGACGGACGAACAAATTCTGTCCTTTTGACACTTTTGTGCCTGGTTGAGAAGAAATATGTACGTTTACATGCATTTCAAATTTTCTTAAACCTCAATATTTGTGCGTTCACATATTGGGGTGTCACTTGTTTGAAAATTGGGTGTAACTTGTTTGGAATACACCTTGCAAGTAAAATGCTTGCAGCAAGCATTTTTCTCCAACGAACTTTTGTATTCGATTCCAAGAATGATACTTGCATGCAAGTAAAAGTAGTATAATACATTTGTTGGCATTCATAAATGAAACAACGTGTAATTTGTTCAACTGTTATATGAATACTAAATATTTATTGAGCTTCTTACTTGCTACGCAGTTTTTAGCTTATTTTACCTCTCTTTGAAAAAGTGCAAATTAATCGAAATATTGAAACTGAACTTTGATTGGAGCAATGCAAACTAATCAAATGAACTTTAGTTTTAAATCAAAAAAATGTGAACGGAAATAATAAGCTAACTTGACAAAAATGTTTTAACAAGCAAGTTGAATGAATCAAGGTTTTTTTTTTGATGAAATTAGCCAAAGTTCAAAACGAAATCAATTGTCATTGTTGCGATGCAAGAACATTCGTGTAAATTTTGGTCAATATTTTTGTCCAAACGTCGACGAGGTAGGTTTATATGATCGATTTTATAAAGATATTTAAATATTCGAAGAAATTCGACATGTTCTACTTTGTGGACAGTAGCACAAAAATTTCGACCAAATTGTATGCAAGTGAAATACTTGCACGCAAGCATTTGCAAGCATTTTGCTTGCATGGAATTCTGTTCCATATTTTTGTGTATACGTCCACAAAGTAAATTGTATAGTGATAAAATGATCGAATTTCTTTGAATATTTAAATATCTTTATAAAATCGATCATATCAACCTAACTTGTGGTCGCTTGAACAAAAATATTGACCAAAATTTACACTAATGTATTACACTACTTTTACTTGCATGCAAGTTTTGGAATCAAATACAAAAGTACGTTGGAAAAAATGCTTGCTGCAAGCATTTTACTTGCAAGGTGTATTCCCACCTTTACATGTCAATATATGCGCGAAAGATGTGAAAGTGTGAATTTTTCGAGTAACCCGTTTTGGAATTTTTTTCAATTTTTGAAAGCCAACAAGAAGAAAAATCAGTTGCTTGACTCGACGGGTACTACACTTTAGCCACATATCGAATATCCTAAATTGACCCAATATACAAGATTTTCACGTACTATGTTTGAAATGAACTCAATTTCAATTAGACCGTTAATTCAAATCATCAGAATAGAAACCTATGGTTGGTATCTCGTGCAAAGTTGTTCAATTCGATGCCGCGCACATTTTGTCCCAACACAACAAAGTCGTATTTTGCTTGAAAAATATAGTTTTCCTTATTGATTCATTTTCAGCTTCAAAGCGAGCTCGCCATCACACAAGGTGTGCTATGGCCAAAATCCAGGGATAAATTTTTTTAGTGTCGCCGAGCTTTTTGTTCAGGATAGCGAAAATGTGATTCGATTCGGTCATGTTTTTTTGGTGTTCTGAAGAAAAATATCTACAAGGATAAAATGTCGCCGGAATTTTGTGTTCGGGAGGTACCCCAAAAATACACTTTTCGGATGAGTTTCTTAGAACAAAGTTATTTTTTTCGAGAAATATTGGGAATCTACTCACACAGAATCTCTTATAAATGATTTTTGGGGTACCTCCCGAACAAAAATTGATAATTTCATAGTAAAATGCATGCAAAACGTAACTTTTGTTCGGGAGGTACCTTAAAAAGTCAATTTTGAGAGTTTTTGTCTGGGTAGACTCCCCATATTTTCGAAAAAAAAATAACATTGCACCAAGACACTATCCCTGAAAAGCCTATACTTAGGGATTTTTTGGTCAAAAGTCGATTTTTTGGGAGTTGAAATCGAATACGAGGCCAGAAATATGTGAAAACATCACTCGATTTGGTCATGTAAGTACCCAAAATGTTTGTAAAGGACCATACTAAGTGATATGACTTTAATATGTTGAAAGTCAGAAAAGTTAGAAATCATTTGCTTTTACCTGTCAAACCGAAGCTCATGTTTGTGATTTGCTCATTTTGGCCTGAAATTTGTCTTATATGTGTGAATCAATCGGCACTAAATTCCATCCAAATTGCAATCTGAGAAGTGCCAAATTGTTCATACGGCTGCTGGCTACACGACACGAGTCGAAAACTGAACAAAAAATTACCACCTGGGTGACCAGTAGAGCAAAAAATGCCGAAAAATTGCCATTTTTTCGGTCATTTTACACTGTAACTGGCCCAGAAGGCCTTTTCAAGGGCTGATGTCTTGGTAAAAGTTGTAGATATTGACGCGCCAAACAAAACCCCATCAAAACTTTTTGTCGAAATTTGGTTGGAATAATGGAATTAGTCGAAATGTTGCGATCCAAAATGGCTTCCGAAATCGCTGTCATGAAAAATTTCATATGGGGCTTGCCTCATGATTTCATATGGTACCCATATCATTTTTTTGGACAAAACATATTTTTTTGAGGTATTTTTTTCGAAACTGGCCGGACATTCCGGATGAAGGTCAACTTTTTTTTTGGACCGCTCTAGTAGTAAGTAAATGATTTATTTTTCAATTAAAATAAGAGTATTGAATGTATTGAATGTATTGATTGTATTGATGCTAATTTTATGCTATTTTTTCTCCATTCATTCCATGCACAATTGGATCACTATGACGGTTACTTCTACAGTTAAATCTATCTCCGTATTCAACCTTGGATATGTGCCTGGAATCGGATACATTTGGGTTTATAATTGTTAGATGGGTAGGCAACATATCCTATTTGATTCAGTATCTCACCACTCTCTGATGTTATCAGTGGTAAAAAAAACTTTTAGATCGAATCGGATTTGATTTCAATTAGGTTCTCGTTAACATGTTTTAAGAATGAAATTAACAAATAAAAGAGTTTTGAGTTGGCAAACTTTATTTATTATTACAATCATACTACTGAAATTTTAGTTACTATTATTAATAATTGTTTGCACTGAAAAAAAACTGAAAGTTCTAGTAAAATAAATAATTTATAATCGTTCAGTGACATACACCTTGGCTGTCGCTGGTGCATTCGAACGACGTACTGCAAATGATACAAGAATGGCCAATGCAATGAATACACATCCCAATGCGTTGATGATGATACCTTCTTCAGTAAATTTCGAATATTGATCACTGTGAAAAAAAAAAGTCAAATTCAAAGGTCTCATCAAAAGAGGACTAAATATCAAACACCTACCCCAATGTCCATATGGCTTTCTGTGTTAAACCGCTGATGCAGCTAGCGATGGCTAATAAAAACGTTGCTAGACCCAAGCTAGCATGAATTGGTACCATTGCCCCACGGCAGCCATACGTCATTTTTGCGCAGCACAAACACACGAGAAATCTAATAGAATTCGAATTAAAAGTAAATTCAGTACGTATTTGTTATTCTTTTCACTTTGTGCTGATCAGAGATTGTGTATTTGCTGCTGAGTAGGCCTGAGCTGACAAGTAAACCGTCCCAACTGTCACACGTCGATTTTAAAGTTGAATATACAGATCGATGGAGAATGAAAAAAAATAATTTTGACAAAATGGCAGCGGCCCCTTTTGGGTCATAGTGGGGATATGGCCCCTTCTTTACAATGCTTCGTCTGATGGTTTTTACATAAAAATGCAATTTTCTCATACTAGAAATGGTTTGAGGAAAAAAATATGTCGATATGAAATGTTCAGGATACTCCAGAGAAAATGACACCTTGGGTGGAGCTGCCCTCTACCCCTGAAATGAAATGGAGGGTCAAAAAGTGAAAAAATAGCGAAAAATGACCAATGCATCCCCAAAATAGGGTCAAACCCCCCTTAACCCTCCAAACAAATTATATTTTTGGATTCCTCGTGAAAAATTACCCCTAGGTTCAGAACATTTCCCATCAAAAAAATCATCCCTTATGTCCTGATTTAAGGCCGGAATGTTAAACAAATCAATTACAAAAATGTAATTTGTTCGGGGGTGAAGGGTTTTTTTTGACCCGATATACAGAAAAAATTAGTTTTTTTCAAAATTATTGTATGGGGAGTCTCGAAAGAAGGGCTCGGAGGGGGTGACCCATGGGTAAAATAAATAGCCCAGAAAAAATTAGCTATAGTTGGTCATACATTTTTATGCAAAATTTCCACTCCAAGAGGTAGAAAATTGACTCTGTAATAATTGACCCCAGATGTGGGGCGATTTCTGCCAGTTCAATTTCTGGAAGACTGGGTGCGGAGGGCCGTTGGGAAAATACATATTTCCACTAATTTGGGTATGGAGAATCCAAATTTTTGGGTTTCAGGTCAAAAAAGTATAACCCCTGGGGGAAAAGACCTCCCCAACCCCCCAGGGGCCGGAAAATGGAAGGGCGGCTGCCCCCAAAAAATCTCCTCATCATTCTGAACAACTTTGACATACATCATTTTTTGATCAGACGAAGTTTAGAAAAGGGGGTGGGTCTATCCCCACTATGCCCCAAAAGGGGCCGCTGCCCTTTTGTCAAAATTATTTTTTTTTTCCATCCCCAATCGATCTGTATATTCAATTTTAAAATCCATTTGTGACAGTTGGGACGGTTTACTTGTGAGCTAAATTTGCTGACTCAGGCGCCTGAAGCGTTATTTTAACGCATTCGCGGTGGGATGATAACGCAATCACGGTGAGATGTTGTCACGTATCTTCCCGTGGATCTATGATATCAGTGACAACATCTCACCGTGATTGCATTATCATCCCACCGCGAATGCGTTAAAATAACGCTTCAGGCGCCTGAGTTAGCAAATTTAGCTCAGCTCAGGCCTACTCAGCAGCAAATACACAATCTCTGGTGCTGATAAAGTTCAATAAACAATTTATTGATAAACTTACGTGAAAAAACCAATAACGAACTGCAAAGCAAACAATCCCATCGTAACCAAACCTAACCATGAGTGCAACGAATAGAAATTCGGAATCGGGGGGCTATTGAGGTTATGTGAATCGTAAACAGCTAAGAATCCGATTGCAACACATGGAATGGCTAATGTATGGAAGAGCGTGTGTGCCATCTTTGCATAAATATGTTTCAAGCATCGGCACAATCGATAAAGTAAAATCGCTAAAAGACAATAGACACAATTGGGAATAACAAAAGTTGTTACTTGATTTCTTTACAAAACTACTTACAAAAACCAGAAAGTGTAATGAAACCTGCAACCATCAGAACGGGATGCAAATTGAATTGGATTTTCGGGTCGTCTCTCCATGCGAATCCATTCCGGTAATATATAACCCAAAACAAAGTCAATGCAGTGGCACCAATGAGAAGCACAGAAGCTATGATCACCGTAAATATGTATTCAAACCACGAAGCACAGCCTAGATGATTGGACATATTAATGATAATCAATTGAACATAAATTTCAACGCCACTTCTAGATTGTGTGTAAGTGAAACTTACCCCAGGTGTTTTCAAGGTCGTCATCATACCTCCTGCAAATAAATTATCAACCAAATTATAAGCATACATTTAGTTTTGATAGATTTAGTAAAAACATCAAATGTAGCCAAAATTCAAGACATTTAAATAACATAAATGTGTATGTGACAAAAAGAGACATATTTTCAAACAATCATATATCGTCCGAACATTTTTTACAACCATCATCGCATCCATATGTTTAAAATAAAACACAGTAAATACTGTCTAAATTGGAGACTCGAAATGTTAGCTATGTAGTTTATTTGATAGTTTGAAATTCGATCAAAAGAAGAATTTAGTTAAATGGAGGTTTTACTGTAGAATGCTAACAACTTCCAGGCAATTTAAATTAATTACTTCACTCAACAGATGGTTCAATTGTTTCTAGATCTGTCTGGATTGTTCCTTTTAAAACTATTTTCCAGATCATTTTTTTACTCAACTGATGATCATAATAACATAATGCATACCATGCATGCTTAATCTATAAAATGTGTGTTGGAAATAGAAAACCTTACCAATCGGGAATGAACTTTTTCAACCAAATATATTTAACCAACACATACATCCCAATCATTTTTACATTGATACAGAATGTGGCAAAAACATTTGACCCATTTGTTTTTTGCATAAAATCAAAACAAATGATTTTTACGGTGTTTCAAAGAAAATCCGAAGGAATGTCGATCTATCAAATTTCTTTTTTCGCATACATTCGCAGGTAACTCCATGAGTCCTTCTCCGTTCTCGTGCGAGTAACTTTGTGTTATTGAAAATATCAGTGTAATATCAACCACATATCTATTCATTGGTAAAAGGATGTATTTTTTTCTCGATTTATATTGTTGAAAAGGAAAGTATGTTTTCTATTGATTCTGTCCGCGTCAAAAGAAAGTAAGTTTATATGCCTTGGGTTGTCGTGGTTTTTCACGGTTTCCGCGGAACTGGTAAGAGATAACAACCTGGTGTCTGCGGCAAAGTCGTAGTACTTGAGGTCCTCTATTAAATTGCTGAAGACAGTTATCTCTTATCAGTTACGCGCAAATCGCGTACATATAAAAGCAAATTTTATATAGAACCCTTTTTTCCTTTTATTTATCGCGCTTTTCGCTAAATTGATAAAAGATAAGAGGTATTCAGTAATGTTATAGAGGACTTTGATTACTACAACTTTGCCGAAGACACCAAGTTGTTATCTCCTATCAGTTCCGCGGAAACCGTGCAAAACCGCGACGAAACGCCATACATTCTTTTAACCATTATTAGTTGGATGAAATATACTTCTCTTCATTGCTACGAAATTGGAGAAACATGCGTTCTTTTACGTCTTACCAATAGATATGATACGAAAATTATCACCTATACCTTCGTCGGGTTCGGAAACTTTTCCGTCCATCAAATATACGTGACCTACTCTTTAACACTATGACTGTTCTTCATATTTGCAACATATTACTGTTCTTGGGGGGCCCCATATGTATTTCATATAAAATCTGGACTGTTATAAGAGATAACAAATTGGTGTCTGAAGCAAAGTTGTAATACTCGAGGTTTGCTATAATTTTGTTGCAACAAATATTGCTTATCTCTTATCAGTTCCGCTAAAAACGCGAAAAAACACGAAAATCGCGAAATTTTCCCACCTCGTTTTAGTGAAGCCGATAAGAAGTAAGAGACTTGCCTCTCTCCTAGAAATGCTGCTCTGATTATTATCAAAAACTCGCGTTTTTCGCGATTTTTCGCGTAACTGATAAGAGATAACGACTTGATGTCTATGGTAAAGTTGTAGTACTCAAGCTGCTCTACAACTTTGCCGAATATACCAAGTCGTTATCTTTTATCAGTTTCGCGGAATACGCGAGAAACCGCAGAAAACCGCGAGAAAACGCGTTTTTTTCCTTATCATTTTTCACGGAACTGATAAGAGATAACGAGATGGTGTCTACAGCAAAGTTGTAGTTCTGGCCAAGTACTACAATTATTCCGATTCATTATTTCGTTATAAGGAAAAAAACGCGTTTTTCCGCGGTTTTTTGCGGTTTCTCGCGTAATTGATAAGAGATAACGGAATAATGAATCAGAATAATTGTAGTACTCGACCAGAAATACAACTTTGCCTCAGACACCATCTCGTTATCTCTTATCAGTTCCGTGAAAAATGATAAGGAAAAAACGCCTTTTTCGCGGTTTTCTGCGGTTTCTCGCGTATTCCGCGAAACTGATAAGAGATAACGACTTGGTGTCTTCGGTAAAGTTGTAGAGCAGCTTGAGTACTACAACTTCGTCATAGACACCAAGTCGATATCTCTTATTATAGTCCAGTTATAATATAAAATAGCCATGGTGCCCTGAAGTCCCCCAAGAACAACAGCGTAACATGTTTTGCGGCAGGCTGTATTTTACACATACTTACACATATGCATATGTTTTTTTTTCATTCGTGTAGAGTAATGTTCAATCTATACAATGAGACTAAACTCCGGTTGGTTTATAGACTGTTTAGTACTTTAATTCAACTTTAAAGTTCGCTGGGGGCCCTGGGTGCCCCAAGAACAATCATAGTGTTAAAACGTGATTTATCCAACTTAAGAATGGAAATGACCAAAAGTCTCATTGTTTGAGATCTCAATTTCAATCATGTCGACAATTGCATACTAATTTTGTAATACATTGCCACACCCATCCAATGGACAATTCTTCAATTGAATAATGTTTTCAGCCATTTTAAAAAGAATGTGCATTGGCATTATACAAATCAATTTGCCTTTCTCCCATTTGCCATATGCTTGTTCAAAATAAATGTGCTGCTTCTGTTTTAATCTAATACGGCAAATATGAACGAGAGTAGTTTCGTTCGGTTTATCGAACAAAAGATGAAATGTGATAAAGAAAATACAGAAATATTATGTGGCAGTGTGTATGTCACATTTTTCTGTGGAATCTTGTGTGTATATAGGTAAAAACGGTAGTCAATATAGGTATATCGAGTAGTTTAGCAGGTACGAGTATTTCTAAAATATTTGTGTATTGAATGCACTCATTGCAAAATAAACAAAATGAAGTATGTCAAAATGGAAAAACGAGAAGAAATACATTTCTCTCAACTTTTCTTTTTTTCAAGTCTTGGTGAGTTCGACAGAAAAGTAACCAATATTCTTTTGTTTTTGCATGGTTTGACATTATTTAAACGTTTACGATAAAAGGTAACGGTTTACATTCTCTTTAAAACTCATATAGTCATTTGCAGACTTACTCTTCGTCTTTTCTCAAACTCATAGAAGTTTAACATGTTGCAAACAAAATGAAAATATGTGGCGTTTTCACTTTCCATTCGCAATTGATAATACTGCAAACGAGTAAAATGCATTAATGCAAATCGAACGGATACTATACATAGTATTACCAACCAGTGGATTTTTCGTTTCGCTTCTTACGTTTGGCGCATAATGATGGTCACTTAATAGAAAAGCTGCAATAAAGATTGCTTTCCCTTCGCTTTCATGATGATCTCAAAGAAATGAACACAAATTTTATCACACCGTGATTAACTGGTCCATAAAAAAATAATATTATACATAGATTTCATCAATTTTCTTCTTCAAATTTTGTGAATTCTTCGGTCGGGGATAATGATTTTGAAATTTTAAAATTCAAGGAAAAATCAACGTTATCAGATTCTGATGTAATTAAATCTTTATGAGTGTTATCACGAAGATAAATTCTTGTAACAAAAATATCGTATGTAGGTTATTCAAAAAAATATCGTATATCTCCATGAATGTGATAATAAATGTTTGTGTTTAATCTGTCTGTTAAAAACGTACGTCTAGATATTGATTCAAATAGGGATAAAATGAAAATGTTACTCGACTGAAAATTTGATGTAGTTGCATCATCAATTAAATCTAAATGAATGAGTACTACCGAACGCTCTTGTCTATGCACAAATTGAATGTATACCATTGGCTACAGTGATAATTTATATATAGCCCCTACATTGCGGAACTACTCAATCATGCAATAATATGATTTTTTGCGACAGTGTTAGGTTCAACAAGTCAGGCTGAAGAGATATATTTGTATTTGTGCTACTTATGACATAAATTAAGATCACTTACGATGTTCCAGCATTGTTTCCACTTCTTGTCATTTTACTGTCGACAAATGAGTAAACGTAGTTTTTTCTCCCCGTTTTTCTAAAGGTGCAATATTCTTTTTTAATTGATAATAATTTTATTTATTAACTTTTCCTACTTTTAATCGCACACATCAATTAGATTCCGTTTAGTTATTCGGAAATTTCTTTCGATTTGGTGTATTTACATTAGCGATCTATTTTGATCAATATGTGTTCTTCCACTTCTCTTTTATATCATTTCAATTATTACGTGAAAACAAAGTAAAAATCTGATCACACGTGATATATGATAAAGTATCAAACAATTGATATGAAAAACATTCATTGAATGTTTGCTGGTGCGAGAGCACAAATATCAATACAATGCAAAGCGATCACAGAACCCGAAATTTTTGTTCTTGTATTATTCAACAGTTGACACTCGCTTCGAAATATTGCCTGCTTATTTCAAAACGGACAGATATATTGTGAATCTTGAACTTTATATATTTACTTTCGTCTCTATAACCGGAGAACTCTCATGTGACTGTCTGACTACAGTATTGCTTTTCTTCTTATTGTTCATTATTGAATTGTTCAGTACAACATTTACACAAGTGTGTGTATGTGTGTTCGTACTTAAAACATATGTATTACATCTACCACTGTACTTCCAACTACTAGTTGAACGAGTAAATGCTATCATGTTTCCACATCGTACAATATAATTGCCACTGTTTGCAAGTGTATTCGTTTCTGCTTTATGCAGCAGTAACAAAACAAAACATCATTTAAAACACATATCAATAGTGATTTGATTACACTTGTGGCTGACTACGGGCAGGTGATGTGCAATGATGCTAGTGTATCACATTCCAAATTGTTTGTGTATGTGTTACATGACTCGAAATGAAGGGACGCAGAACTGGTATACGTTCTTTCCATTTTAATTGAGCTTGTTTTGTTACTCTTTAGAAAACAGAAGATGCATTCATTTCAATGTTGGTAATGAAGCTTAAGTAAGTAATATTCTACTTCCAAATCAATTGATTATTTTTTCAATAATTTTGATCAAATCACCATCGATATGCTTTTTTCGCATCTCTTTAAACTTTGTTCTGAAGAAATTCGTGATCCGCTCCGATCAATGAGCTTCCGATTTATTTCCACATTAACGAATTGAAAGTTGCACATGCTGCAAGTTCAAATCAAAAACGGGGATAATTTGTTACAGGACACTACATGTGTTTCGATCGCCATAACTATCGAAAATGGTTATTGATACTTACATACAACCTTAGGGAATGAGCTGGAACATGCCATAAACATTTAAGAACTTACTTCAGCCACTATATAAAATTTGTAGAACGGATCGAAGTGTTTTTGAAAATGATTAATCTCAACACTGAGTACAAAATTTGTGCATTATCATTTCTGCTGATTGCTAACTGAATTCTTGTTGAATAAAAATATATGATATTTAGAAATACTGATAATAAGTTGCTTGCCATTAATATTAATTGAAAATGGCCAATCGAACGAAAATCCGTTCAATTTATTTCGAGGAAAAAATCTATTATTCAGAGTCCATAAATATATATTGAATACTGTCAAAAATGATCCGGTGTTTGAAGTTCTTCAAGCTTCTAAGCTTTTGTTTTTTTATGAAAATGATAATTGCACATTACTAATAATTAGAAAAAGATTTCCTGAAATTTTCATCGAATTCGAATATCTTTTTCGCATAACAGAGAAATTTCCAAATTTTCCATTTTCACTTTATTTTGAAAAATACGAATCTCTATGAAATGTTTTTCAAAACTAATCAACAGAAACGTATTGTGGGAGCAAAAACATGATGAAAAAGTGTATATTTTCATGAAAAAATAACGAGAAGAGTAATTTTTTGAAATTGATGCAATTTATAAAGCCCCAAATCAAAGGGAAAATTTATAACCTTCCAGCCTTTTTTCTGTAAAGTCCGCATATTTTTGATTATAGAGTGGCTCCAAATTATTTTTTCGGCATAAATATTATTCCAATCGTTTTCTGGACCCTTCATACAGTAAATAGAACTTTCGACCTCACGAATATTTTGATAAAGGAAACAACCGCCTATATCTCGATGGGATTGAAAGATAGAGTGAAGGTTTGTTGGTACGATATGTTTGTTTTGTGGCCTAAACTTGTCTTAGCATAATACTTTAAGTGGTTTCTGGGCTTATAGAGGATAAATGAGCATAAATATTTCGAAAAATCGTGTGAATGTAACCTTCCAGTCAGAATTCTTGCCCATATTCAAAGAACATGAGCGTACCATTCGGTTTCGAAACATAAAAAAACACAAACTTCAAAATTTAGCATCATATCTATGGGTGAGATTGAGAGTAGTGTATGTTTTTTTTTCGGATTTATATTTTTAAAAAGTCGAGTATGTTTTTCAGTGATTTTGTTTTAAGAAAAAGAGAGCAAGTTTCTTTCGACTTAAAGATAGTTAAAGTAGAGTAAGTATTTTGACTGTTTGTGGCTATGATAAAGGCGAGTATGTTTCATAAACCTTAATTTGCGTTGAACAACAGTATGTATTTTGTTAGTTTGGAATACCAATAAACAGGACTATGTTTTTCTGACTTTGGTTGTTGTAAAAGGCGAGTATGTTTGTCCAAATTGGTGAATATTATTAATTTATTTGAATTTAAGTACTAGGCAAACATAATAATCAATAGAACTAATCATTTGTACATCTAGCGGCTCCCAATACTTCAATTTAACACATTGGTTTTCGAAAAAGTATAGTATGTTTGCATGAATGGTTAAAAATATCAAGTTCTTTCGACGAAGAGTATCAGGAGTTCATACACACAGAAAAGAATCCCCGGAAATTTTAGATGTTCGCCGTAAAATTTGACATTTATATATAAATTTCTATATACATTTTACCGGCAACACTAGAATTTTCCGGGTGATGACATAATTTCAAATATTCCAACAGAAATTAGCGCCATCTGTCATTTCAAGCGGTAAAATATATATAGTATTTGATAAAATGTTCGAAAATATGTCATCGCCCGGAAATTGAAGTGTTGCCGGTAAAATGTATATAGAAATTAGTAATAAAACTTTTCAAAAAAATTGTGAAGAAAAGTTTCATACAAAAAACATGTCGAATATTTCCAGACTCGTTTTTCTTTGAGATTTTGTCGTGATAAATGATTGTCTTAATCTAAACGCTGTGTTGTACAGATTTACATTTTGCCGTAACACATTAATATTGTAACGAAGAGCCAAAGTAATGCTATTACAATTTTAATGCCAAAATTTAGCATTACCGGTAATGTGTAACATTTGAAATAGCTATTACTTGACCCGTCCTATAATAGCTATTACAATTGTAATAGCTATTACTTGACCCGTCCGTTACAATATTAACATGTTACCTAACATTAACGGTAATAAAATTCTGGAAGTGGGTTTTGGTGGATCCTCAGGATCGTTCAAAATTGCTCCCGGTTCTGGAAGTGGGTTTTGGTGGATCTTCAGGATGGATCAGACTGGGTTTGACAATGCCCTGGTCCATCCTGAGGATCCACTTCCAGAACCAGGAGCGGTTTTGAACAATCCTGAAGATCCACCAAAACCCACTTCCAGAATTTTCTTACCGTTAATGTTAGGTAACATGTTACATTTGGCATTACATTGCGTGTGTAATGTTAGAAAATCATATTAATAATGTTAGAATTCTGGCATTACCGTTAATGTTAGGTAACATGTTAATATTGTAACAGACGGGTCAAGTAATAGCTATTACAATTGAACCCGTGAGCATAAAAACAACGTATTGACTCTTCGCCGATGAATACGAAACGCAAAAAAATCGCCGAACAAAGTGAAACACCAATCTGTTATTGGATCAATATGAAACATGAAATCGTTGGCCACTATTTTATTTACGTTGCACTTTGTTTCGAAGCGCGGCAAGTGTTTCATTTTGTTCCAGTAACAGA